CTTTGGCACGAGGAAAAGTGATCTGCCCGGCCCCCCCCCCCCCTTGACAAACAGGCAAAGAACTTTTCTGAAAAAAATCTGGAATTCTTCAAATATTTTGTGAACAGACTGAGATTAGCATTACTGATTTATAAAAGAGACTAAGTTTAGTTTTTAAATCTAGTAATGTTTTATCATATTGGTAGCTCTAACACGAGTTCATTCTATTCAAATATTTACAATTACTCTGCATTTCTATATAAGTGGCATTTATAAGAAGATTTGATTGCACTATGGTAAACTGTTTCTCTTTAATGTTTATAACATAAGTATTTACTTAGTGTAAATAAACCTTTAGAGAAAACAGTGGGGTTCAATGAATAGGATGCAAATCTGTGAGTCAGAAGAGTTGGATTCTATTCCTGGAAATACCAGAAGGCATCTTCTAAAATTATCAGGATCTATATTTATCTCCCTGTTTAGAAACTCAGAATCATTTGAGTCACACTGAAGTAAGGGTGATACAGGCTATTCAAAATTAAACCCTCAGGCTTGGAGAATCAGTGGTTGCCTTGATAATACCAGTAACATCCCAATTATTATTAATATTGGATTATTCCTTTAAACCATATTCTTTTCTCTTGATCATACAGAGTAACAAAAACTGGGCTTCTACCAAATTTTGGGACCACCTTACTGATGGAGAAACACAGCCAAAACAAACACAAAAAGATGAACAAACTAGTTTCTTCACAGTATTGCCAACTGTTGACTGTAGATGTCAAGGTTGATAAGCCCTCTATGAGATGACATCCTCTTTTTCTGTTTTATAGAAGGAAAGGAGTCATGCAACTCATTTTTAACCCCTCCCAGTTGAAAACTTCTCACCTGCCACAGCTTTGATGTTCAATAATATAATTTTTTTTTTTTAAATGGGAGGATGTTCCATAAAACAAAACAAAAAAACGCAAAACCAGAGAAATAGGTTCTTTAAGGCACAGCACTGCAACACATGGCTATTGAGAAATTTGGGGCTCCACCATCCCCTGCACCCGTTCCTCACATCACCTTAACCCTGAGAATCTCTTCAGGGTAAAACTTCAAGAAATAGATATAAATAATCAATTCCTCGCTACTTCTGTAGCATCAAACTTCTTGTTCCTTTGTCATTTATTTTAAAGATTTTGCCTTGTTGCGATTCTTTCAACCCGACTATGAGGCTGGCAGGTTCCCAGCCTTCTGTCTCCCATGCTGGATCCCAGCTGAGGGTTTCTGGTCTTGCTGCACTCCTCTCCATTTGCGTCTCCTTTTTTTTCCAGTTGGGGATCTCTGGGCATACTCCACCCTTCTATTACCATCTCTCCCTCTCCAGCTCCCTCTTTTTTGGCATGCCCTGACCGTCCACACTGGGCTGTCCCTCACTGGCTTGCAGAACAAGTGCCCCCAGTGTGTCCAGCCCCTCCGTACCAGACTTTATCCTCAGCTCCCAGCCAAGGTTTTTTGGGCATGCTCTGCCCCTCCCTGCCAGGCTCTGCCTCTCCAGCTCTGAGCAGAGAGCCTCCCAGCATGCCTAGCCCCTCTGCACCAGACTCCCCGCAGCTCCCAACTGAGGTTTTCTGGGTATGCCCTACCCCTCGCGCCGGGCTCGCTCTCTCCAGCTCTGAGCAAAGAGAGTCTCTCTCCCTGCAGTCTCTTGCCTCTGAGAGAAGTACCAAGGGAGAGAGTTTGGTTCCCCAGAAATTTCCCTCACCCTGTCCTCCTCCCTTACACACCAACATCGAACAGTTAAAAATAATACTAAAGATAGATTTAAATCTAAGAAAAAAAAATTCAGGAATGTTTGTTTGCCCGATGGCTTTTACACCTTCAGTTTGCACTCTGCATTCTAAAGTTTTTCTCCACAGAACAAAGGCAAGAAAGTTACTTTAAAGGATAGTGAAAGTTGAGATTTCTAGGCAATTACTCCCGATTGTGTAAGGAACACTCATATCCACAGGAAGCATTTTACTTAAGATTTTTCTCTGCCTTAATTTGTGGAGGGAAACATGGCTCTTTCTTGTATTCAGTGATATAGCAGATTGCTGACAATACCCTGAAGTACATTTACCCATCTTTAAAATTAACATTTTTGTTTAAACATATTTATTAAGTATATAAGGTTTTTGAAAAATCTAAAACAAACACTACCAAAAAGAAATACCCTGCATGAGGCTGAAATTGCAAAATACTGTATAATGTTACCACAGTCAAATCTCTTCCCAGCGGTCCCAACACAATGAAAGAGGAAGCCAGGAGTACTAGATCTCAGAGGCTTGCCAAGGCAGACCTTCATTAAGAACTGTTGCCTGGTTTGGAGTCTGTTGCCACAGCTGGAAGTAAATGGGTAGGCTGCTCTCCCAGTAGCCAATCAAGAAGCTCAGATGGAGTCACTAGCTGGACAAGGGCCAGTCAGAGCCCCAGGCAGGTGTGGCCAACTAGGCAATTATCCCAGGCTGGGCTGCCCACTAGGACCCCTGACAAGCATGCTTATTGCTAATATTTTAGTTATTCTATCAGGCAACAGAAACAATAGGCACTGATCACAGGCATGTCTAGTGAATAATCAAAGACACAGTCTTAGGAAATAGATCACAAACAACTCATGGGATAAATCACGTTCAGATAAGTTGTTTGTTGAACAATTAAAATAACAAGCAAATTCATAACAATCAGGCTATTTTTGTGAATTGTCAGTGAAAAGACTAAAAAGGCTATGTTGGGCAGATGATTTATTTGCTATGAATAGTTCATCTACCTCCCACTGTCAGCTCAAAATGCTCTTTTAAAAAGTGAGTAAATATGGTCAAGGCACAAAACTGTTAATTATGAGATCTGAGTTTCTTTCAGGACTTCCAGTTTAACCTTTGACAAGTCACTTAATCTAGATTTGGTCATGCTCATCCACAGTGGGAAGACCTGGGCAACTATGGCAACAACTGAGAGCTGCTCCTTTTAGCTGAAGATGGGAATCCTTCTGGCTTGGGTTCTTTGTAAGGCAGCTAAGACTGGATTGCCAGGCCCTACTGAAGGAAAGGAAGCAGGTCAGGAGGGGTGCTTTGGGATGCCAAAGAGTGGGGGCCATAGTGCATCCCTGCTTCGATATGCTGCTGTCATAGAGTAGAGTTACTTTATGGGACAGTGTGAAATCTAGGACACTGCCCCACCCCTGTAGGTTAGGGAGTCAATGGCCTATTAATGACCCATTGTTCTTTACTTCACAGATGTTAACACTCATGAGTACTCCTTCCCAGGAGAAAGAGTAATGAGATACGGGAAGCAGAAGCCAGGACCTTGAAGTTGCAGGATTACAGCTCTTAGACTCCTTGTGCTTGTGGTCTGCGCTGCCAAGGTCAGTTCCAAAGATTTCTAGGGAAGGAAAGTAAGCCTGGAGGCGAGTGGGGTCTGCGCCGTCTTTATAAGATCCAGGAAAGCTCTAGAGCTTGTATGAGACTATTGCTGGGAGCTAAGCATTGATGTTTTCAGTGGTCCATGTGTTTAAGCATGAGATATTCAAGTCCATCTTATCAAGGTAGGACTTGGCCTTAAAAGGCTCAGCACAGAGCTACACCCATTAAACACCTTGCCACAAGAGTAATTCCAGATTTGAGATAACTGGCCTTTTACATTACAATTACAAAAAATATTTTGGATACATCTTTGCTGGAAAAAAAAAAAGCTACGTAAAATATTAGGCATCTCCTTCTGGATGAACTAGTTAGAAAAAATATTTTTTTTTTTTTTGAATGAGAAGGGAGGCAGTTTGAGAAGGTAACTATGGAAACATGTTCTGTCCATGGTACTTAAATTTGAACACTTAAAAATTTAAAGTTAACTGTTAAGCCTTTGAAAAAAATTCTAGTGCCCATTGGAGACTTAGCTTTTAGCAAGTAAATTCCCTGCAGATGATTCCAGCTCAAGCTGACAAATACTTTCTTTGCAGTTACCACTCTGGGCTGCTGCAGCCAGTGCTGGGCCTGGGGGCTTGAATCAAAAGAAATAACTTTGTATCTGCTGTACTCCCAACGGTGATCTTGTGAGTTAGAAAACTGCTTCCTATAAAAACTGAAGGGACAAGAACCATACTTGTGAGAGATTTGGAGAAGTAAATTAGAAGAGAGTTTGGGTGGGATTAGAAACTGGGCCTGGAAGATGACAGGAAGAAGAATCTGAGAGTTGAGGTACAGAAGACTATGGACTATAGGCATAAAGGAACAGAGGCTAGGAACCAAGGGGATGGTGGATGTTAGCAAGAGTGAGGGCAGGACAGAAGCAAGCATGGACTTCTGGACAAAAGTAATTGAGACTGGAAGCAAGTAGGTGGTAGAGAAACCAAGAGCAGATAGAGAGAGACTAGAACCGAGATCTGGTGAGGAAAAAAAGGGTTGAATATGGAATAAAGGGAGGAAATTTAGTTAAAATGGAAAAGACAGGTAAATACAAGACTTAATGCTTGTTGAGTGCCTAGATAACATCACATTAAAAACTTTAAAGCACTACAGAAAAGTCCATGAAGATATTAACAAATCTCTTTTCAGAGTGTGAATAGCATGCGATATGCAAGACAAGGCTACAAACTGACCAGAGAACTCAAAGCCAAATATACAAGACCTGCTTGCTAAGCAGGTACTATTTATTCCATATCCAGAGTGATGCAGGGGTCTGCAGAAAGAAAAAGTATAGCATCATGAAAATAAAGATTGCTTCACAATGTGCAAGTCCAAAAGGGAATAAATTAAAGGTTGCTTGTTCAACCTTAAGTGCTGGCATTTCGTAACTTGAGAGGACTAGATTTTACAGCCTTAGCAACGTTCTCTTGAGACGGTTCTATACTGAATAGCTGTGCTCTTACAAAACTAAGGCGAACAAAGAAGCTATTCCATACTTATAAGTAGTATTTAAAGAAGTTTTAAATTCTTACTTAAAACAATTATTGGAGAAAACAACTTTATAAGGTTATGTTTATTTAAAACACTAGTATGTAATTCCAAGTGAGAGTTTTCCCATAAGCCTCAGGAGGCAGGGCATCTCATTCTTTTAAAATTCCCATGCAAGAAAGAGGAAGAGGTACATGTTACAAGTAACTACTGTTTCTTCACTATAGTCATTTCATTAGACTTCCACTTCCTCAGCCAAACATATTAGCCTGTCCTCAGCTTTAAGTTTTTTAGCCTGCAACATGCATTTCACTGGAGAAAGAAAGAAGTGCTTGAAATAAAACACAAGCATGGCCTTTACTAAAAGGTAAACAGGATTCAAACGACAGGAATATCTACAGTACATCTATGGGAGACATTTCTGGAGTGGGGAGACAGCCAAGTTCAGAAAAAAAAACAAAAAACACAGCCGTTTGTGAAACTAATGTTGGGGTTGTTTCAGGGACAGAAGTAGCCAATTTAAAATATGAAAAAAATAAATCTCAGAAATAAAAGACAAGCCAATCATGTGACTAGGGTAATTTTACTATATTGATTTGTGCTTTTTTTTAAGTTCAGTGGCTTAAAGAAAATTTTTTGGAGGGGCAGAAATAAATTTACTTTTTTCACCAGTTCATAGATTACTTTGTAAACGTTCTTTACATTTAGCATCCCCTCCCCTACCCACAAAAACAACAACAAAAAAAAAAACAAAACAATAAAACCACTGGGAAAAATATTGATTCTCTCTAATAAGTGGTCTTCCTTTTACATTACAATGGGTGCACCTCCACAAGATGCTAGCTGTACAGTAGCCTAACACTGCTTAGTAGCATGCAGGGCAAAACCTGTGCTCATACGTTACAGCTCAGTAGTACTATCATGTTGTTAGTGTCACTAAAGCCGTGCACTGACGCTACTGCACAGTAGTGCCCATTACTGCATATCTATTTAGTACTTGGTTATGCAGGTACTAAATTTAACGTGCAGTAGCTTTGGAGCATTAATGAATGTGTAGATGCACCCAGTTTATTATGCAATGCATCTACCTCCTTCATATTTCAATCCTCAAAAAAAGCACAGAAGTTTCATCAAGATACAATATTCATCTTAAATCCTCCTTTGGCTGCACTAGATGCAGGACAACTGCTCACAGTCATGGGGAGCACAGAAAAAAAGGACACTTCTAAGACTCTAAAGAATCCTATAACCTTTCTACCAATTGGTCTGAGAACATAGGTACCAAACCTGAATAAGACTGGAACTCAACTTTAATATATTAGACTCTTTGAAGTTTCTTAATTCCCAGTATGATCTGACTAGGGCTTGACATCTCTCTAAAGGAGGGTGGGAGGATTCAAAAATCATTCTCTTTCCATTCTACTTTATCCTTCTGCAGTTTTCTCCCATTTTCTGTTTTAGTAATCCTCATCTATGAGGATTGCATTGGAAAGTTATACTATTTATGTAATCCTCTTGCCAGCCAAGTGCTGCTTGGCAGTAGAATTGGGCCCCTCCCCGCCTTCTCCCCCTGCTTTTCTGTCCATCCCCCCTGCGCAAAAGAGATGTTAAATGCCTCAGCCAGAATCCTAGGAAATTAAATCCAGGCACTTAGGAAGGGAAAAAAAAAAAGTGGTCATCACAAGCAAGAAGTTCTAGAGTTATAGACGGATCCAAAATGAAAACAAAAAACAGTAAGACAGCAACCTAGGAAAACTGGATTAATAAAGCAACAGGTGACACCACCACCCCACCAGTCCATCCCTTGGCTGATAAGGTAGCTAGCCACTACCCTTTACCCCTTGTCATACTCCTACAGGCTGAGAGAGTCTAGAGTTGGGCCAGGTTGATCTCTCACCCGCTAAGGGCTGTGAAGTTTAGGGACTTGTCTATTCCACATCCTGAAGCGATCATAACTCTGGTACTACTGGATAGGGAGATCCTCACAAGAGTCTCTCTTTACACTGCTGCTCACAAGGACTTCCACCTAGGTAGCCACCACACCTCATTATCCTCATTCCAGCCTCAAAAAAAAACCTCAATAATTTATTTATTTATGTTTTAAATCAACTGCCCTGAACTGCCAATACAGCAGAAAGTCAAGTGAGGCCAGGCCCAAACAATTAGTTCCCCTCTCTCATCAACAGGTGCCTACAGCATCTCCATCCATGTGGTGTTCTCAGATAGTTGTTAGCTTCTATTTCCTTCATTTATTAGCAGGCATCACAATGAGCTCTTCACTCTTTCAGCCCCAGTAGTGTAACTAAGGGGGAAAACTACTGAGGCAGCTGCCCTAGGTACCAACTTTAGGAGAGAGAGACAGGGAAACGTCATCAGTTGCTGCCAGAGCAGCAGCTGAAGTGACTGCTGCCCCTACTTGTTCTGCTAACCGCAGGCACCCAACTGCTTTGTTGCACCTCTGTTCAGGCCACAGTTTGCATTTACATCAGTAGCAGCGCTGAGCTAGGTAGCAGAGTATGCATTGTTTCCTGTACCGTGTGCTGCTCTCCTACGTTCCTTTGGAAATCCAGTGGTTCTGTACATTTGAAAGGAAGAGCTGGTGCCCATTGTTGGTTTTCTGCAATTTTTTTCTTCAAACTGAGAAGGGTATGTCTTCATGAGGCAAAAGGCAACTGGTCTTTTGAAATGGTCTAAGGCAGGAGACACAGTGAGACTCCTGGAGACTTCACTTGGATTTGCTCTTGACACCTCCTTTATTTATAAAAAAAAATAAAATTAAAAAAAAAAAATAGCAGACTAACAAGCAAGAGGTGTCACGTAATCACCCGCAAGGATGCATACATTGCAGAAGAGGAAATTTAGCAGGGCAATGAGCATTGTATTGGAACTGGCATGGACTGCACCTGAGAAAGTGTATTAATAGGCACTGTTCTCCTCTAGAATGTGGACCAAGATGCAACACCAGTTAAGCTGCAAGTGGCATGGCAAGCCTCCCTTGAAGACACTAAACTTACTGCACTCCATAGTACTTTAGCTTTCTGCTACTAGTCATTCTTTGTGCTTTTCAGCCTCTCCCCCTCTGCTGGGAAGCTGTCTATAGCAACCCCCCTGCTCAGCCCTTTCACCCTTACCCCACCCCCTGGGAATTCTGCTAGTTTCACTGGGTGGGCTATAGTTGCATCATTGCTTCCCATCTCCCTTCTTATGTAGCTTTAAAAAGGTGGAGCAGTTAGAGCGTCATCTGCCTGGTGCTATCCTAGCAGTGGCTATAGAGACTCATTACAGTCCCCTGCAGGCATCCCCTTGATCAGCTAGTTAGCCCCAAGTTTCAGCATCTCCTGTACAATTCTCATCCATTCTAAATAGATCAGTGTCTAAGTATGAATGCCTGAATCCACTACAACATCTTGTCTGCTTGCAGTGCAAGCATGCCATAGACATGGAGAGCTATGTTTGAGGATGTGACTTTTAGGGTAGTGCAGGAACTAGGGGAAGAGAGTAATCAGGGCACCAGTCCCAGCATTAACTGAGAGGGGACACCAGTGTGGTTCTCTCCCTGCAAGAGAGTCTTCACCATGGCAGGGGCAGCATTGCACCCCCTGGCCACTGGAGCCAGGAAGACAGCCCCATGCCTAGTAGTATATTGGGGGGGGGGG